CATTTATCTAGAGACTTTCCATCTGGTACACAAATGTTGAAGAAAATCTAAATATCTAAAAGTGTTACTATTGTCTTTTGACTATTAATTAGAAAACTGTAAAACTATATACATAGCAATACTTTCCATTTATCTTTTGACTAGATCTTTCATTATCAGTGGCTATAAATAAGATATCTTCACTATTAGATAAAATATCTTCAAAGATTGTGATCAATTCCTTATCATTTTCCTTAACTATATCGTTCTAAGTTAGGATACCTATCAAATGATCCACACCAGAGTAGCAAATTACCTAAACTTTTATTTTATCTTTTTCAGCCTTTAGATAAAAAAGGGTGAAGGCGTTGAAGAACTCTAAAAGCTCAGAATGTTCAGTCATTTTTTTGAAGATTTATAATTATACCAAATCTTAAAGTATATTATTTGTAAGAAAAAAGTTTAAAATAAAATTAATTATCTGAGATTATTAATTGATATATACAAATAAAAGGCAAAAAAGGGTAACACTCTGAAAATTTTATTATTATTCATATATTTTTAAGACTGGTAAAATGTGTAATTGGAGATGCTATAATTCAAAAGGATATAAAGTCCATCAGAATTCTAAGCAAGTTCCTTATAAAAAATGTGGTAAGCTGATAAGTAGCAAATATGACTATTGTGATATGTATACAAAAAAATATAGATTAAAGGAACATTACTATTAGAAAAAGCTAGTTAAGCAAGTTGATAATTCTAAAAAGATCCCGCTCAAGTAGTTTTAGGCTAATCAAGAGATCTAAACAAGTGATTTGAAATAAAAAGTTACCACTATCCCTATGAAAAATTTCTTGGTGACACTCTTGATGATGCTTTTGGTAACAAAATTTATAACTATTTCACAATTTCAGAGTCATTGAATAGTTTACCGATAAGTGTTACTATGACACTAAGAGTCATTAAGAAAAATTAGACTTCTTTACTTTTTTATTTTCTTTTAGCATATATGAAAGGGTTTCTAGGAAAATCAGGTTCTGAGAAGTTTTTAACTTAAATTAAGAGTTTAATACATTTTAATCTAACAACATCAAAAACTAAAATGCAATAAAAATCTCAATTTTGTTAAAAAATTCCTAGAACTTGATTTTCCTAGCAATCAACCTATATGTTATATATTTATTATATTATATCCCTATGGCTTTTTAGACAATGGCTTATTGCTGAAATTTCTTAGTGATACTCTTAGTGATGCTTTTAGTGACAAAATTTATAGCTATTTCATATTTTTAAAACCATCAAAAAGTTTCTAAATAGGTGTCACTATGTCACTAAGAGTCACTAAGAGTCACTAAGAAAAATCAGAATTCTTTACTTTTTTATTTTTTTTTAGTATATATGTATCATGCATATGTCATATATGTATTATACTATATTGCATATAAACTATAGGGATAGCATAAAAAAATTTTGATTTTTTTTCTAGAACTTTATTTTTTCTTAGTGACTTTTAGTGATATAGTGACAGATATAAAAGAATATAATTGAGTATTCCTAAACTTTGAAAAAGCATACAAAGGTGTCACTAAGAGCGTCAATAACAAATTTTCATAGTAACAGGAGAATTTCTTGATGATAAACTAGAATTCTTAAAATTGAAATTAAAATTGCGTCCTTAAGAGTGTTCCTATGAATACGTTTTAATAATTTGAACTTTGGAATGTGAAAATGATATACTTATATTAGCTTAATAGTTAAACCATAAGATAGTGTACTTCTTAGCAAACAAATAAGCCAGACAAATTTAGAATTTTCAAAACTATTAGCTTACAACAAATCCACAACTAACTTGATACCCAAATTTTTGATACAATAGATTTTTATTCAATTTTGATAATATAATATTCTATAAATTTGATCACAACTTTACTTTTACTAGGAACACGAAATTGGCATACATAAACTGACAATAAATGGGCTGGCCAAAACTAACTGAATTTGCTATATTATATGGCAGAGGGTGTTCTAGCTTTGAAATATTATCACATGACTATAACGCAGTAAAACGCAGTCAAAATTTGTTCTATAATTTTGGTCAGATCTTTAGGCATAAGAAGTCAGCATCCAAGCTGGCAAACTACCAATTTTACAATAGTTCTATAACAGTTCTATGACAGTTTTATGACAGTTTTATGATAGTTTACGGTAACTACCAGGTTACTACTAGATTACTACTATAGTATTGAGTTGGAATCTCAAATCATGTATCCAAAAGATTGGCCAAAATTATACCATAGAGCCAGCTGAAATTAATCGCAGATTTACATCAAATTACTGTATCATCTGATGTGATATTTTTTTATTATAATTTAGCATTTTGGTAGATAACAAAAGAAGTAAAGAAGGAAAGCATCTTCAATACCTTAATAGGTAACCAAAGAGATCCAGAAGCAGGTAAACAAAAAGATAGCTCTTTATTAATAAAAAAGGTATAGAAACACGTAAATAAAAAGATATTTTCTTAATATTAAAAAGACTAAAGACAAAGAAGTAAGGCGTAACTATTAGATTATGAAGATACTATTAGATTAAAGAGTATAATCATTATTAAATTATGAAATTAACATTAATTCATAAAAAAAAGTATAGCAGGAATTAAATAAATCAATAGCTAGAGAGTCGTAAAGATAACTAAAAGATAGATTATGAAGTTACCATTAAACTCTGAAGTAACCTATCAGATTATGTAATTAGATTATGAAATCACCATTAGATTATGAACTTAGATTATGAAACACCCTCAGATTATGAAGTCATTATTATATTATGAAGTTGCCATTATATTATGAAATCACTATTATATTATGAAGTCACTGATAGACTATGAAGTTACCTTCATAACCTAATCTAAGACGCATGTAACTTCATAATATAATTATATTATGAAGTCACATATGACTAATAGTATTTAATAATACTTAATAATATTTAATATAAATTTAATATTTGAATTAATAGATTTAAGGAATATTATAATGGTTAGATAAAAGCTTAAATATAGATTATAAATAAATAATATAATTTTAAATCAAATATAAAGTAATTTAATGGTAAATATAAATTTATGATAATATTATATAATAAAAAAAATACTTGTGTAATAGTGACATTTATACTACATGTATAAATAAAATGATTAATAGTATAACATTACACAAAATATTCAAAACAGGAAATTTTATTTTACAGTAAAATTCAAGTCTCAAAATTAGTCAAGTTTCCTTTTGAAATTTTTATAATGTTATACAATTGCTTCAGCTTGCTTTGTCAATGGAAAGCTACTAAAACACATTTTTATTAAACAATATAATTTCCTTTTTTGGAACTTTGCCTAACTTCACGTGATTTACCCGTTGCAAAGCAACGGGTTAGCAGTTAGTCTTATATAATAAAAAAATACTTTAAAGATGTTGTTGATCGTATAACATCATTGTCGATCATCTATTGTGCCAGATTTCAGGTTTTTAGGTTTAAAGATCTTTAATTTTAATATTTAAGTTAAAAATAGGAAACTACCAAAGAGGCAACTAAAGGGTCTTTTTATTACAAATGGGGGTAGTTTGTTAAACTTAATCGGATATCATAATATATTTAAAAATGTTGTAGTTTTACTTATAAAACTTTTCTTATTATAGTTAATTCGCCGTATAAATCACCCGACTTTTACAAAGACCTTAGAAACCTAGCCAACCTCCTAAATACCAATTAAATCTTAGACTATTATTACACATAAAGTTTTTTGAAATTATTGAATCTTTAAAAAAAAATTTTTTATTAGAAATGTAAGTATGAAGTCACCTTCACTTTTAAATTACTGGTTATTCATGGACAAAGCAAATAATGAGCAGTTTACGGAGAATAGTTTTCGGTTTTATATAAAAATCAAGCATTTTATTATTTTTATTATCCTAATAAAGTAAGTTCTTAAAAAAGAAAAAACGATAATGAAACATTACGATATTTACAACCAAAATACACAAATTACATTATGTTCTATATTTAGTAATGCAGATACATGCAGCTCAACCCGCAGTAACGAATTTTCTTCGTACTGCGAAATTCCTTATAAGTGATAACACTACAAGTTTTTCAAACGTAAGTATCCTAATATTTATTTCGAAAATTCCATTCTTACACAGATGTTTTCCTTTTTTAAGAGTCTTTTGTATCATTGATCCTTTCCTGCACAATATTAAGTATTTATTAATTTTGTGGTTTCATCCAATGCATGTAATTTATGTTAATCTTTGATTCAATAATCCACTCATTCAACAAAGATGTTTATCTTTATTATTAAATAATTAAGTTGTAATTTATAATCTATAAATCATCATGAAAAAGCTCCCATGTTACTTTTGTAAATTCAAGTTCCGAATGCGGGCATTCATCGTTGTAATTTGTTGCTACACCAATATAAATACCAAAAACTAATTAGCGTCTGCCAATCACGGTGAAGTAATATACACAAATAGACACGTTTTTGACTGACAAATTCTCGGATTCATTATTTTTTTTTTTTTACTTGTTCATTTTCCTTTCCTCTCATTTAACAAGTTTCGTTGTTAAACGAGCTTCTTTCTTTTATTCCATTAATTTCACACTTTCCCTTATATCACCATAAATCCTTTTCCCCTTCCACCAAATCCTACACCAATTTTATTTTTCCTTTTTCTTTTAGAGTAAATATACTGTCTTTTTATTATTATTATTATTATTATTAGAGGACAACCATAGATTCTATCATATACCGGCGGTATACGAAGGGTAAGTTTTTTTTATCTCGATTGCTTGAAATTTGCCTTTCTTAGTAAAAGGATCTTTATTAATGATTTGTCTATATGAAAAAAAAAAAATAAAAAATGGAAAAAATAATTCGAATTTAAATTTACGTTTCAAAATTTCAACAACCTTGTAGAAAGGTTTTATCCAAAAGATTTTCATTCTTATAAACAACATAAAAGATGCGAAATTTATCACTCCTCGCACTTGTACTTGTTTCTACATCCCTTCTTTCAGGCTCACAACACCATGCCGAGGCCATTATGATAGATAGTACATCACAAAGTATGCTATCCCAAGAATTTGGCAATCGATTGATACGTCGATATGGTGGTAGCTTAGGAGGGGGTGATAGAATGTTTAATAAAAGATATAACGTAATATCATCCGGCCTTCAGGAAAGAGCCGAAGTAGACAATGCTAAAATTCCAAATCCCAAAGCTAAAGTTCTAATACCCAAGGCCAATAATCAACCTCCCAAGAAACCTGCTATTAAGGAAGCTAAAGAACCAGCGAAAAATCCCAAAGGCAAGGAAGCCGTTGGTAAGAATGTAACACCAAAACAAGTTCCTAAAATGACAAAATTAAAGGACATTGAAGATACTACAGATCCAAAGAAACCGGAACCAAAGAAAGAACAAAAGAAATTAGATGACGTAAAAGAAAAAGAATCAGAAGGCAAAGTTCAAGAACAAAAAGGTAATTTAAAAATCAAGTGGACTCTACGATTTTTATTCATGGTATATAGGTTAACTAGGTTCCTTTTTTTTAAAAAGATAAATCTTCCGCAGCAGATGACCAAGGTGGCGCGCCAGTTGGATCAGCTCCGCAAGTTCAAACTGGTGGTTTATCATATCAAGCTGCAGCTGGACTTACCACTGTCGGTGGAGTCATGGTTTTGGTTACCGGTCTATTTGCCTTTGTCCGTAGAAAGAAAAATAAAGAAATGACAAACAGCATCGTGTCAACTTCAGCAACTGCTTGGGAACAACAAAACTCCGCATATGAAAAAATGGATGAGGAAACCAAACCATTAGGTTCATACACAGTTATTGCAACTTATACACCAGCATTGGCCGATGAGTTGGATATACAACCAGGGGACAAGGTTACGATCTTGGTTGAGTATGATGATGGATGGGTGCAAGGTATTAATGAAACACGTGGTGGAGCCAAAGGTGTCTTCCCTCGCCATTGTGTAGACATGAACACCGTCCTAAATAACAAACGATCAAGTTCCATAGGAGGATATACAGTGGTGGATCTTAACTAGGTTTTGGGCTATTTTAAAATACTTCTCCCCCATTCCTTTAAATGTTGGCAAAATAGATTTATAAATATTATTTGCCTGCACATTATTAATCTAATTTATTCAAGTATAACATCATAATAACGACAAATCCAAAATGCTCCTAATTTCCTCTCATTTCTCATTATATATATATGTAATCTTTTTTTTTCTTTTTTTTTTTGGAAAATTTTTTGGTTGGTTGTTTATGTATAGTTTTGGGTGGATGGGGGGTTTTTTTTTTCATTTTGTGTTTGCTTGACTTACACATTGTTCCTAATAAATTTTATCAAGAAAAAATTTTAGATAGTTTTTGTAGTAAAAAAAATTTTTTTTTTTCCAATTCTATCGAATTAAATAGACTTATAAATATGGACTTCGTTTTAATAATTATAAACAGCTCAAAAATTTGAAATTTTTTTTTTTATATTTATTAGGTACTTTTTACTTTTTACTTGTTTTTTTTATTTTTAATTTATTTTATTTTTTATCATTTTATCATTTTTTTTTTTTTGTTGGTACTTAATAAAAATTGCAATTTTTATTCATTATTTAAAAAATTGCGATTTTTATGTACCTTGCCTGTGGAATTCTGATATCTCTTTGACGATGGTTATTAGAGGTATCTTGGAAGTCATGATAATTAAGATCTCTTATAATGGTTATCCTAACTTTTTTCTGGTGGGTGTTTAATGTCTGAAAAAAAAAAAAAAAAAAAAAAAAAAAAAAAAAATTGAGTTTATTATGTTTTGTATATAAAGAAAATTAAATATAATCGAAATTATATGATGTATGAAAAAAAATGTATTAAGCAAATTTTTGAAAGAGTATGAAATTATCAAAAAATTCCAATAAAATCAATACCTACATTTTCAGAATATTATTCGAAAAATACAGACTGCAGTTTATTCTTTCTACCAAGTCAAAAATTTCAACATGATAAACTAAAAAAAAAAATAACGTTTTAGTGATAAACTTTATTAACGTTTAATATCTTTTTATGTTATCTTGAAGAGGAATTAGCTGTGCTCCTTTACGGACCAATCGAATAGGTCCTCGGACCAATGAAATTAGTCACAAGGCCTGTCATACCTCTTGCACGATCTTTAATATTTCGCATTTTAAAGTTTCAGGCCAAAACTTTATTATTGCGTCTAATCAGAAGAAATTTTTCTTTTGATTTGGATCAGGCCTTACAAATAGTTTGGAGTTATCTTTACCTTCGCTATATGTGTGATTAGATTTTGAAATTTTCAAAATCTATCATACTGATTTTTAAAATCTATTACGATCAAGTATCGGTCTGACTTTTCGGCCTTCGTAAGTTGATTTTTATTTATTGCTTTCTGATCTTTGGTCTTGTCATATGAGTTGTACAATTGTCCTTCTTATAATTACGGTAATAGCAATTATTGTGTAATGTAATGGATGATTTTTTTAAAAAATTATAATAATGTAAATAAAGTTTCTATTGGATTGATTATTATTTAATAAATAAAAAAAAAAAATTTAAAATTGAACGCGAAAAATAAAATATTTGTTCCCTTCACAAAGTTATTTTAATAAAGCTCGAAAGATATTTATTTAATCTGAATATCACGGGATTTAATACAAGAAATAAAAGAATTTTATTATTTAGTTTAGCAAGATCTAATCGCGGCGAAGATATTCTCTTATTAAATTTTGACCATATTTCGTGACCAAACCACCCTTCAATCATTTCATCCAAACGTTTGTTAATTTCCTGTGGTGGTTCGATATCTTCTTCGCTAATTTATTATCTTCATCGATGTTTGTGTCGGGGTCGACTTTGAAAAAAAAAAAGTTGTGGACAAAGATCAAAGGCAAGCATTAACATTATCCAAACCTGCAACTTCCTTATGATCAGGTCATTTATTTTTGACATTTTGAAGTTTGTCAATAAAAAAAAAAAAATACTTCCGAACACCAAGAAAAAAATTTTTTTCATTAGGATTTTCAAAAAAAGCGTTCTGTTACGTTATTTTTATGTCAATTTACTTTTGATAAACGGACTAAATATAGGTTTTATTTAATCCTGTAGCCGGTCGCCGTTTCTTAACTTTCGGGCATTTTTATTTGGCGCAGTACCGACATCATGATGAAATGTTTGAAATGACGTAAATTACATTTCAAAAAATAGATCTTTGTGAGATATTTAATTTTGATTAACTTTAAAAGTTAAGCCAGAATTAACCTATGTTTCGTTATAATTTGTTAGCGTTCAGAACATAAATCTATGTTAAAAGGATGACCACGGAAAAGCAAACTCCACTCTTAGTTGACTTGCATGTGAAATACATTCAGTCACTTGACACGGTAAAGTATATCAAAAATGGAAACTTTCTATTTCAGAACTCTATTTAACTTGATATATTAAATAAAGAAAAAGGACGACTTGGAATACTGGTTAACAGAACATTTACGTTTGAGTGGTGTTTACTGGGGCCTCACAGCTTTGGACTTGTTAAACAATGTTGATGCGCTTAAGAAAGAAGACGTGGTGAAGTATGTGATTTCTTGTCAGCATGATAATGGTAGTCTCAGTTTGAAAACTGACTTGTATATATATTGACTTTTATTTGTTTGAAATTTTATTTCTGATTTATATTATTTACATTCTAGGTGGATTTGGTGGACATGTCGGACATGATCCGCATTTATTGTATACGCTCTATTCGGTGCAAATTTTGGTAATTGAAGATTCATTAGATGCTGTAAATGTGGATAAAATTGTTGAATGTGAGAAAAATCAAATTGAATTAATCTGTGATTTTGATGTATATATATATATTTCCTTTGCTTAACAACGATAACGTTTTACTAGATGTTGCCTCTCTTCAAGATCACGCGACAGGAGCTTTTAGGGGAGATGAATGGGGAGAGATTGATACTCGATTCTCCTATGGTGCTTTATCTTGTCTTTCCCTATTGAAGCGTTTAGATGCTGTAAATGTTTCAAAAGCTGTTGAATTCATTATGCTTTGTAAGAATTTTGATGGAGGATTTGGTAGTTCACCTGGAGCAGAATCACATGCGGGTCAAAGTAAGGCTTGTTTAGGTTTAATAATATTAACCCTTTTTTTGGACAAAAATTTAAACACCAAGTTGTTTTTTTATAAGTTTTTTGTTGCGTCGGCGCTCTTGCCATTGTTAATTCGTTACATTTGGTCGATGCTGACTTACTTGGATGGTGGCTCTGTGAACGACAATTGAAAAATGGTGGATTAAACGGGCGACCAGAGAAACTTGAAGACGTACGTTATTTAATTTTTGTTACGAATTCATCGATAAAAGGTTAAAAGATTAGTTATTTATATTTTTAGGTGTGTTACTCCTGGTGGGTTCTTTCTGCGCTTAGTATCCTGGGCAGGTTACATTGGATAAATAAAGAAAAGTTGATTGAATTTGTGTTGGCTGCTCAGGTACTTCCATATTACTCCAGGATATTTAATATTATTATGTATTTTAGTAAATGGTTGGTATTTTATTCCAGGATCCTGAAGGTGGAGGCATTGCTGATAGACCAGGAGATATGGTGGATGTATTTCATACCTTGTTCGGAATTGCAGGTACTATATATAATCTTAAAATATCATTAATGTTAAGTTATCAAAACACTTAATATATTAACATGTTATTTTCTTTCATGAGGTTTATCGTTGTTAGGATACCCAGGTTTGAAATTGGTCGATCCAGTTTATTGTTTACCAAAACACGTTGTGCAAAGAATCGGATTGGCGGAGAGATATCATGTATAAAAGTCATTGATGACTTTACGATACATATAAAAGTTAATTTTACATGAAATAAATCCTACATTTTCTTCATTATTAACTTGTATCCTCTAACTCATTAATCTATTATACACTTAATAAATTAACTTTCACTAAATATAAACTTTTATTTCAATATTTAATTCAAAATAATAATATTCTTTTTTAACTATATCAAAGTAAATTATAATATAATTGTTTAACGATAACGACGAAGAGAAAGTGTGTTGCGTCTGCGCCAATTGGAATAACGACCACCACCTTTCGTCTTGTTGTAACGACTTCCTTTTCCAATACCACGATTTTTCTTACCGATACTAGTAAGAGCACGAGCTTCACGATGTTTATGTTTAGCAGATACAATCCAACTAATTCTAGGATCACGGCGAATAGCCTTATGATTAGGATCAACAAGGATAACTTCAAAGTATTTATAAGTAGAATCCTGATTAAAAAAAGATAAAATTTTAATAACTTTAATTAAATTTCACAACTAATAATAAAGTCCAATTCAGCATAAAATGTTACCTGATTAATCCAGTATGAATTCAAAACACGTAAATTGCTACATTTACGACCAACACGTTCTTCAGCTGTTGCTCTGAGAGAACGTTGATATTTAAGTTGATTTACACCCTGGTTTACGGGTTTACCATAAGTAGCACCTTTTGGTACTGGTCTCTTACGGCCACCACGACGAACGCGGATTCTATAAACAACATAACCTTGTTTGGCCTACACAGAGAGATTTATAAATTAATCTTCCATAATTCTTAAAGAATAAGATAATAACATTTAAATATAACACAACCTTGTAACCCAACCTACGAGCTTTATCAGGTCGAGATGGGCGAGAAGCTCGATGAATGACATTTAATTGTCTATGTATTTTTTTTGATTTTTTTGGATTCCGTTGTATATATATTTTTTTCGAGACAGGATAAAAAAAGAACATACCATATGCGGGATATGTATAATAATATAAATTTTAATAATTTTTTATGTTATAATTGGTTCATTGGCAATGAAATATTTAATGTCCCATGATATTATATAATTTTTTCTTTAATATCCCGCATAATATGGAAACATTTTATTTCATGCCTAAAAATAATTTCTCGAGAATCAAGATAAAAAAATTTAATTGATATTTCACATAATGTGAATTAATCAAATCAATATTTTCTCATCTGATCATTGAGAAAGTATAGAGAAATGGATAGGATGAAGGAATGTAATAAATAGACTACCTGTATTCCCAACACCTAACACGATGTAAGAAACAAAGTACATCAGACTGCTTCTTCTTGTAAAGTTCTTCGAGATACTTGTAGGCTTTTTTTTTTTTTTTGGGAATAATTCAACAATTAGTATATATTAGATATATCAAAATCAATATTTTAATACATACCACCCATGAATTTATCCTGAACTCTTGGACTATTCAATTAAAAGAAAGTTATTCACAAAAAAAAAAAAAAAAAAAAATTAATAAATTATGAATCAAAAAAAAAAAAAACATTTTTAAAATAATTGAATCGACATTCATCCATTAATTTTTTTACAAATTCTATTTCTATACTAAAAAGAACTAACGTAATTCGAAGATATTTACCTTCAAGCAATGGATAGAGAAAGATTGTTCGATTTACGCTTAAGAACGAATCTTTATACTAAAAAATTTTTTTTTTTGTGTAATGTGATGAAAATTATAATTTTGGCCGAAATTTTTAATTTTGGTTTCACGTGATCGAAAACATATTTTTGGTTGTTATTTTAATATACCTTTAAAAAAATTTTTTTATCCCATTTTTTCTTTTAGCTATTTTTTTACTTTTTTTTAAAAAAATATTTATAACTAATTATTAGAATTAATATACTTTAAATAAATTTTATATAATAAATTTTTTATATATAACTTAAAAAAATTTGATCTGATTTGAATAAATTTGGTTTATTAAATTATTTATATGGGACATGCTGCAACAAAACCAGACAAAGTGAACATTGGTATTACTAAAGATTTCAGGGATCAAAATTTAGTTATTTGTAATGTGATCATAATTTACAGGTTATAATGTCCCATTTGTTAAGTGATATATAGAACTATTCCTATATAAAAATAGTTAATATGAAGCTAATTTACATTAGGTCTACTATGGAACCCAAAAATTACAGCACAATTAGAAGTATTCTAAAAAAGGAACAAGGTGAGAAAGTTGCTCCTTACATTTTCAAAATAAATAATACTCAGATATTGGAAACTTATCTAAGAAAAGAAAGGATTACTTATGAAATTTACCAAGAAGAAAGAAAAATAATAAACATTGAAAAAAGAAAGCATCATGATGATGCATTATTACCTAATAAAAAGCAAAAATTCTTAAAATAAAAATAAATATTATTTTCTTTGATAGTTTGAATAAATTTTAATTTATACAGAAAAAAATTTATTCAATTACTTTCTTATTTTCAATCAAGATCATCTTTTAGTCTCTTGAACTTCAATTTGTGCAGTTAATTGACCATTCTGTTGATCTTTTAATTTTCTGTTTTCTTCTTCTAGATGATTAAGTTTTTCTTCTAAACTTTTTATCTTATTCAATAACTCTTGTTTCTGTTTCTTGCTTCATTCTTCAGATTTTTCCTAAAACTTGGCTACTTCTTCTTTTTCTATTTTCAACCCCTCCTTGGCAAATTTCAATTCCTTTTTAAGTTTCTTTGTTTTCTTTGCTAAGCGAGCTTCAATAGTTTGAGAAGAAGATAATTGAATTAGTCTTTCTTTTTGAAGACTACAAAAGCAATATTCTCTATTTCTTTTTAGTCTATCACATTTCTCACAATAAGGAAGTGTACTATTTTCTAAATCTTTCTTACAATTATCACAGATAGAAGCAATATCAACACATTTATCTTTCTTATCATAAGCCACTATCTCATAATTAGCAGGAGTGAAAGTAAGTTCTTGTCCAAAGAAAACATCTAATAAACAATAATTACAACTCCATGTTTTATTTTCTGCTTCTAAAATTCTATATTCCAATTTCATAATTACCTGTTATTTTGTAAAATATAAGTGTTGAATTTTTCTCTTGCTTGTTTTTTTACTCTATTTGTTAATTGTTGTAATTTAATCTTTTTCTCTTTTTTAGCCTTATTTCTTTAAACTGTAATTTTTTAAGTTTGTTTAGTTTACACTTCTTTCTTAATTTTTAGTTCTCTATTATTAAATCAAATATAACATTACCTAGATTGAAAAGATTTCTATCATAATATTCTTTGGACTTGTCTAATGCTTTCAAGTTCATTTCAACTTCTATGTTTACTCTTTCTTCTAAATTCTCTATTATGTTATCTTTTTCTTTTACATTTGCTTCTAATTTCTTAATTTTTTCAAGCAATTCATTCCTCTCTTTCTCTAAACAAGTTGTTAGTGTCTGTAGTCTTTTAACTTCTTTATCAGCTTTTACTCATTAATTTACTGCATTTTTATACATGTAAATAAGGCGAACAAAACTTTTTCTAAATTTTTTGTCTTCTAAGTGTTTTAATACATAAGGGCAAAGTCAAAAATAATCTATAACTGCTCTTATCTTTGTTTTATTTGGATTTCAGTCTAAACTACTAATTAGTTCTTTTATTTTCTCTTCAGTTAAAATATTGTTTTAGTTTGTCATTTTTTTTTTTTTTTTATTATTATTATTTTTTTAATATACTTATATCCTTTTTATAAGAGCATATTAAGTATATGAATTATTTTAGTACTTTTTTACTTTAAAAACTTTAAAATAGAAAAAATTAACCATATTTGTCAAAAAATCAAGCTTATTAATCTTAATGATTTTATTTGTTACCAGCATAAGATGGTCTTAGACAAGTAATATCTTTATATTTATCTTTCACAAATGGGCAAATATTATTATAAAGGTATTCTTGTCTTTTATAATCCAAAGGAGGAGGTGTTAATATTAAAATTGATAAAGCTCTAATTTCTTCAAAAATATTTTATTTCTTGGTTTTCAATAAATTGAATTCAGTAAAAGATCTATTAACAATTTCTTGAACTTTAACCATACCAAGATTAGTTACTTCAAAAAGAAAATGTTGATATTTCTGTATATTTGGTAATTTCTTGAAATAAATTCCCAAAATAGCTTTAATATCTAAATATTGAAAACCTTTTCCACCTTCATAACATTGAACTTTATTTAATCCTGTTAAACTAGATTTTTTTATTACCTCAACCATATAATTTAGACAATCTTGTCCTTCTATAGAGTTTTTTAATCATGCCAAAATTATCATCACATTTGAATTTAGTATGTTCTGAAATCATGAAATTTAATTCAATTCTTTCATAATAATCACAAATTACTAAATACAAGTAAAATCAAATAATAGTATTATTTTTTATTTTATCTTTCAGCATTATCACAAGTAATCTTTAAATGTTTTTCACCTTTGTTCAATTTCTTAATTTCATCAAAGATCAAACTAAGAGTTCCATTAGGATCTTTTCCTATAATTTCATTTTTATTAAGAACATAATTAATTTATTTCCTTACTGCTTCATCTTGAATACCAAATAAATAAACTTTACATGGACTAAGATAATAAATTTTACTTACTTGTTGATCTGAATGTGACACATGAACATTTTGGGCTCAATAATAACTATAATGAACAGTAGCATCAATACTGCAATATTGTATTTTACCCTTTGAATAATTTTGATTAACTAATTTTCTTTGTTCTTCAGCTAATTTAGTGTTTTTATTATAATAATTTCTTTCTAGTTTGGCCTTAGACAAATGTTCTTTAAATATTTTGAGTAAATCTTTAGCTTCTTCTTCTTGGCGAGCATTATAATGTAAACTATCTCTAAAATGTTGACAAGTATCACACAAGTCAGTTTTTGGACTCATAATTTGAATTTCTGATGTCAATTGATGTCATAATTTTCTGAAGGCATCATATTTAAGGATTTCAAATTATTATCTTCTTCTTCTAGACCAGCCAGAAAATCTCTATGTATTGATTTATAACTCATTTCAGCTGGTAAAAATATAACTGATTGAGTTATTCTATTGATACTTCTTTCTAGACTTAGTAATCTATAGACTTCTGCAACATTTTCTAGAAAATTCTTTACTACTTCTGCAACATTTTTATCAATCACCATTTTGGTTTTCCATTGAGGCATTCTTTTAATATTACCATGAATTCTTGGCAGAAGACCATTGCTTATTAAATGATTTCTAATATTTTCAAAATAAGTTCTGCCAATTTTTAATATATTAAGATAAATTTCTTGACAAAGAAGTGTATTGTGATTCCAATAGTAAAAAGTTCTTTTATTAGATCTGGTTTTCTTTTTAAGACGTCTACTGGTGCTTATTGTTCCACCATCTATTGCTTTAAGTTAGGCCATCAAAATATATCTTATTCTAATTTAATGAGAGCTTGAAAGGATTTTCTTAATTCTGCAAATTGCTCTTTAGAAATTCTTGAAGAGCAATTACATTTACATCCTTTTCCTAAAAAATCAATTGCTTTTTGGTATTTATTAGAACTATTATATTTATTATTACTTTTCATATATAGGTAACCCTATATATATAATTTTATGTTCACTTTATAAGTTTTTTAAAATTAAGATAAGAGACCAATCAAGGGATAAAATATTTAAAAAGGTGAAAATTTTATATTTTTTCCCATTAACAATAATCTGATAAAATGAATTCTATCTTTATATGAGAGTTTTTCTAATATCATACTATGCATTTCAGATGATTAATTTTATATGATGAAATTTTATAGACACTATTGGAATTTATTAAGGAAACCTCTAGCACTAACCTGCATAAAGTATATATATGTTAAATAAGATTTCTTACAATAATACAAGTATCATGGATATAGTAATATGACAATCTGCATGAATTTATTAACCAATTTTTTTCATATAAAATAGCAAATAGAAATAATACAAAGTATAGAAATGAAAAAATTATCATATAATATTATGCAAATGACATTTTTCTATAACTCTATATCTAATAAATATTACTTTTACTTTTTCTTGCTTTAATTCTATCTATGCAGAATATCTATTATCATCACCAATATTACCTAATCTAGAGCTTAAATCAATTTCCAGAACAAATTGTCTGATACGATTTTTAATCTAGAATGGTATTCTCCTGGCATTATTATTGTTAATAGTAACAAATTTCTGCTTTTTGTAATTGTCATACAGCTGTGCTGATACAATAAAAAAAAAGAATGTAACCTTTCTTTGCTAATTTGGCATAAATTTTTTCAAACCAATCATTTTAATAGGATGATTCATAACAGTAGTCATCTGAAAGAGCTTGTTAGATGCAATGATAGAATTAATTGATGGAAAATTTTTATTATCTGGTTGAAAATAGTTTCCATCAGTGATTGTTTCAATTGTAGAAAATGTATATGTCCTGTCTTGCTTATTAATTAGTAATGGATCATATCTATTAGAGTTATCTAAAGAATGAATCTTGAACTTTTCTCCATTTTTCAGTATCATGTGAGCTATCTTCTCAAAAATACTACCTAAAACTGGATTACTAATGCTATTTGACAAGCTTACATTCAACTGTGTATGCATTTTATTCATGATAGTCCTTTCAAAATTCTTAATCACTATTCTATTTACATATACAGATGCAAATTTTATAATTTTTTGTGTATAAGGTTCTTCTTCAATGTATTCAACTTCATCATCATCTTCTTTAAGACTATTATTTCCTTTAAGATTATAATTATTGCTCTCATCAATTGGGGGATTCATCATAATGTGAATAAGCTTATGGTTTATATCTTATTTAGCTTCAGATCTGCCAATAGAAGCTATAAGTATACTCTCATCACATGCATTAATTGCTTTTTTGAGCTTATTTTACTGAATTGCTTCATTAGCTTTTTCTAAGACGAATTGAAAAATTCCTTCTCACTTATCATCAACCATTTTTTTATTGACTTTGTTTTTATAGATCTCTTTCCAGCATGTATCAATCTCTCTTTGTCCCATGTTGACATATACCATGTTGTTGTTAAAAGATGCTTATCAAATTCTACATAGTAATTTTTTTTTGGCAAACAGATAAAAATTGTCTTAGCTTCAACATTTTGAGGTTCTTTACCATCTACAATATACCAGATATCTCGTTTATTTAGATGATCATAAAAACTGAATAGATTTTCACCAATAACAGTAGTTTTATCATTGAATAAAATCAGAAACTTATTAACTTTGTCATATATAACTGATGTGTTTTTTCACATGAGCTCATAAAGTATATAGTAACTAAAAAATGTTTTTCCGATCTCTAGATTTCCAGTGATAATCAATCTTCTTGTATTATTGCTAAAAATAACCTTGAACAGATCACAATAACATTACAAATAAATAAGATTGAAGCTTCATCACTTTTCTCCAAAAAGTGGATATTATCAAGTAGTTTGAGAAAATCATCATTTTCACCAATCGTAATAGTTCTTAAAGTATTCCAAAAGCCCAACAGGTCTCTATCATCAACTTTTTATTCACTTACTGGAAAATTCTGTATAATAAAAACAAATAAATGAGACACAATTTAACAAATGTGATGACAATAAAAAATTTTACAGTTCAGAACATTATAATGATACAAAGTAATAATAATATTTTTTTTTTGTATATTATTGTTTCAGCAACAATTATTATAAAATAAAGAAAGGGATCTAACAACATTACTATTTTTTTATTTTTATTTTAACGCGATTGTGTAAATAAGTATTGATTATTTTTTATTGATTCCACCCAAAAAATTTTCGATCATATGCAAGTAATGTATATTGATAACAATATAATAAAATAAATTCAAAATATATATGCAAAAGTAAATGTGATTATATATGCAAATCAACCACTGGGACCAGTTTTATTAATAATTGACTACATTGTAAGATTAATGACATTACATGCTAAAATAACAAAATATTGAACTATAACACTCCAGTTTTATTCAATCTACACTCCTTACCAACCAACATACTATACATGCTATCATATATCCATTAAATTTTATAATAAATAATCTTATTACTCCTCTATCTTATATTCTATTGGAATCATATGCTTAATTACTTCAGCCTCTTTTAAATCTCTCCCCAGTGTAGGATCAACCTAAGCAGTTGATAATTGTTAAAGCTATATTCAAGATTTCTATCATTAACTGAAGTAGATGTTGTAGCCTGTTTTAAACAACTGTAAACTTCTGATGATAATCCAAATATTGCAAGTGGTACTTGAAAATACTTCCGAAATACCTTAATATCAGCATCTGAAACATTATCTACAACACTCTTGGAATTTTTAACATCTTTATTTAGCTTAGTTCTGATCCTTTTAAGAAATCTATCTCTCGTATCATTACAATCTATATTGTAATCTTGCAAAGCTTCTTCAAGTTTACATTTTCTACTACCTGCCCTTTTTTTTTCAATTATTCTTGATAGATCTTCAGAAAACTCCTTTGATGATTCCAATTGCATATACAATAATAAAAATGGCATATGCAGAAGTTTTTCGATTTCTGCACTTGATGATGATTAAAAAACTGTTGCAGATTGTGAATAACCCCTATCTCTTACATCTTTGGTCAAATTTTTGACTTGGATTAGTATGTACGAAATTCGATCCTTGCTAGGTTCTTCATTAAAAGATTCTATATATATAGGTATAATAATATCTACTCTTTTCTGATATCGTTTACATGAAAACGCAACTCTACAGATCAGAGCACTCAAGAGATCTTTTCTATCTGACGTATATATAACACTGATAAAGTGCGTAAACTTAATATATGCTTTGCCAAACTTCATTTCCGTAAATGATACCCGCTCTTAAAAGCAAGATGATATTTTCTCATACACATTTTTTGCTAGTAACGATTTTAAAAAATCACTTAAAGTCATAAAACGAGAATAATGAATTCTAGTAGAAGGTACATTTAATTTATTGTAAATGTTACCCTATGCTTTAAATAATAATAATCTAGCAACAAACTCTTCACGATATTCACCTTCTATTCCACAATCTTAAAGTGACGAGATAAGTGCATTAATACTTTCTATAAGATTAATATCTGAATCATTTATTATTTGAGCAGATGCTTCTGCTAGTACAGGTTCAGTAAACATTGATGTAATGATATTTTTACGATTATCTGAGATATTAATACAAAAATGCATAAAATTTGACATTAAATTAGGTGCATATTCAGACTGTAATACTATGTCTATACATAAATGAGGTCCTAAAATAGCTAATGCATTCATGGTACTGATATTATTTTTAGATTCCTTTTTCCAACAAATGTAAGTCATTCCACTAACAAGCTTATTCATGGCTAAATTAATTATACTATGTGGTTCAAATCCTTTAATATTATTAAGCGAAGGTGACATTATTGAACTCCATAAGAGTCTTTCATACATTGTGAATATTCAGAATCTTTCAATGTTGACACTTTTTTAAGATCAGCATTTATGTCTATAGTGTCTATCAAGTAAAACGGTTTAAATAATTGATATCTTCCGCTAATGACCAATTATATTTAGAGACAGGTGAGAAGTTCAAAATATTTAAAGTTGTATCCGTAAATACAGTAAAAATTTCTGCATTTTTAGGTAAAATTTTAAAGCATGGCGAAGATAATAGAATAGGCTTTCTTTTTCAGATTAATCTTTATTATCAACCAGAATACAGGTCTCATCAAACGTGAATAGACATCTAACTGTATTGTTTCATGTCAATATATTTTCATTTTTTATTTCATCAAAGTATTTCTTAACTACCACAACTTTTTCATCTTCCTTAAGCTTATCTAATAGTATTTTTTTAATATCATTCATTCTATGTTCAATGTCCTTCCAGAAAACCTCCTGCAAATCTTCATAAGTATGCTATTCAAACCATCCCTTTGAATCTTTGAATTCCTGTGATTTTTGAGTACATGTGCAAAAATAAGCAAGATAGGTAGATAAAGCATCATTTTCATCTCTAAACTTAGATAATAGTACATTAGCAATATATGATCTTGGTGGATATTCACTTGAATTATGATCACAAAAATAGCAGTATATGGTTCTAATGTCTTCTGCAATTTTCTTTAATAATTTTGATTTTTTTATGCCACTAGCTTGAATTAATGTCATGTATGATATGTAATAATTTTCTGTCTTTATATAAATATATAAGCATTTATTTATAAAATTCTTGAATCTTTTCAAAAGATCACTTGAGTCTTGAAAATCCCTATCAAATGCCTTTTGGATGATTTCTATTTCTTCACTATTAAACATTGTATATAATACAGAATATATGATTAAATCAAAAATTTAAAATTAATAGAACTAAAAATAGTTTATAATTAACTTACATGAGATTTTATTCGTTTTCTCTTGAATTAAATATTAAAAGATATATATGAGAAAAAATGAATAAGAACTAAGGTAATACAAAAAATTATAATAATAACATTTGTTACAATAATCTTTCAAGAATAATTATGTTATTTACTTACCTTGTGATTCTTGAAATGCTTTTACTACCTCTTCATAGGAAACTTTAGGACACTCTGACACATTCTGTGAGATAAAATCCATAAAGGCTACTTTTTCTTTATCAGAAGCTTTAGAATATTTATTCACATATAGTTGGTAATATTGAAATTTATCCACAGCTTGATTATTAATAGAAGAACACTATTATTAAAAGCTTTTCAGAAGATTTTTTCTTCTGATTCGTAAAATTAATCAACTTACTTAAAAGTAAATCCTCTTCTTCTTATGATCTAAGTATAAAAAATATCAAAGAATAAATGAATAAGTAAATAAATAAACGAAATAGAATGAATGAAAAATAATTTTTTTTTTTACACAATTTATTCATTACCTTCTCTCCACCGAACTCTCTCAACCTCTTTCTCCACTCCTTCATTTGCCTTCTCCAAAAATGTTCCTTTTCCTTTAATTCTTCCTTCTTTTTTTCAAATTCACCTATTTCCTCTTTCAAATTTTTACTATTCCCCTTCAAAATTTTCTTTTTTTCTTCATCTTTTTCTCTTCTTATATCACTATTCAACATCCTCAGCTTCTTCTTCAACTACATTCCATCATCCTTTTCTTCTTCAAATGTCTTCAAATTTTTCATTATCTCGTCTAATCTCACTTTTGCATCATTTAATTCTTGTTCAATTCCTTTGTATGTTACCATTTTCTTAAAAGTAAAAAAAAGATTTAAAAATAAATTTTTTTTTTATTGATTTAGATCATAGTTGTTACAATTAATTGTTTCTATAAATAATTTGGACCAGAAAAATACATAAATAATTTATAAAAATATAAGTTAAAGAATTGTCAAAGCACTTGCATAGGAGGAAAATACTCAGACCCAAAGCCACTGTGAGTATTACCTATTCTTTGGGCACTCTGACAAAAATTCAACTTTCACTATTACTATTGCTATTATCAATAATAATATTATTATTATTTGTATCTTTATTGTTTTTATTATCTTCTTTGTAATCTTCACTCTCTACTTCTTTTTTCTTTTCTTTATTAACCCATTCCTGAATTGCTTCTATCATTTTACTTTTAGGATTGGTTTTTCATTGATAGAAGTTTTTTATTGTGAAAGCAGCAACTTCTTTTTCATTTTCTAGTAATTGACGAATTTCAATGACCATTTTATTAAATGAAAAATTGGGATTCAACCCAATCTTTTTGTCAAATAATTATTTAAAATCCTTCTATAGATTTTCTATTTCTTGTAAATATTGTTTATCATTAATAAGTTAGTTTGTTTTATTTTTAAATTATTTCCTTTTTGATTCTATTTTATTGATTATTTGATTAATTTTTTGATTTATAATAGAGAATTAATTTTGGATGTTTTATGGTGAATCAAGAAACCAAGAAAGAGTCCAATTAATAATTCACAAAAAAGTTCACTATTGAAAATAAGCATTTTTTTAAAATGTTATTATAGATGGAAATATTGTGTAGATATTTATTGATTATTTGTTTTTTTTTAAACTAAAAAATAAAATTGTTTAATGAAGAATTTATTATTTGAATTTTTTTTTACTTGAAAATTAAGTGAATTAGTAATGTTTTTATAATATTCCAATACAAGGTGGGATTATTTACCTTGTTTTAATGTTAATGAAAGAAAAACTTATAAAACATATTCTTAAATGTAGTAGAATTTTTTGTTCAAAAATTTAAACAACGTTTTTTTACTGATAAGTAATGCAATATGATGATCATTAATTACATTTTGCATAAAGAAGAATTTTCTTTGTAATAAAAAAAATAAATCAATATTGTAATAATAAAATTATTTTCCTTCTAAGGATTTCTGCTTTTTGTTAGGTAACAATGCACCTCCACTTTGCTTTCTTTTTCTAATGTTTATTATTTTTCTTTCTTCATGGTAAATTTTATAAATAATCCTTTCTTTTCTTAGATAAGTCTCAATTGTTTGAGTATCATTTATTTTGAAAATATAAGATGTGATTTTTTACCTTGTTCCTTTTTTAGAATACTTCTAATTGTGCTGTAATTTTTGGGTTCCATAGTAGACCTAATGTAAATTAGCTTCATATTAACTATTTTTATATAGAGATAATTCTATATATCAAGAGGATAACAAATGGAAGATTTTAATAATCACATTACTAAATTTTGATCCCTGAAATCTTTGGTAATACTAATATTCACTTTGTCTGATTTTGTTACAGCATGCCTCATATTAAAAAAATTAAAATACAGTATTAGTTTTATAATAGTTAAATTAAAAATTTTCAATACTAAAATTATAAAAAATGATAAATTTCTATATTTTTCTTAATATTAATAAATATAATATATTAATAAGTAATAAGTTTTATAAAAGTATTTATATAATAAAAAGATTTTTTATTAAAAAAGAGTTATAAATAGAAAAGGTTGGTTTTTTTTATCATTATCATTATAAAATATAGATCATTAAAATAAATAAATTGGTATTATTAAATAATATTAATATTATAATCATGAAATTTTTTAATTTACTTTATAAAATACAGTAGTGGTTATAAGTATCTGACTGCCTTTAACTTCGGCTACAAGTAAGTAAATTCAAAATTTTTTTTATTTAAAAAATATATAACTAACTAACTAAAATTAATACATTGTGTAATCATCATCTGACTCTATAAGTGCAGCTGTATGCCTTTTCATGCTAGCTACCAAATTTGAGGTAAGTACAGGTGATAATCAGTTTCATTCTTTTATAAGTTTCCCTTTAACCTTCTAATTGATTGAATTTTTTTTTATATATTAATTTTCATTAACCTTTAAACGTTTTCTATAAGATTTTGGTCTAAAGACATTGATGGCCAAGAAAGTATCTCAATGCCATTTTCTTTCTTCTATTTTTTTACGATTTTTAATTAATGCTTTAGATCATTATCTTCTTGTAAGATCTAATCTATGTTACCTTCACCAAAAAGTTTAGAGATAGAAGCCAGAAAACCTGCTCATAAATAATACACATAAATTCAGCATTAAAATTTTTCTGAAAGTAAAATAACTTACTAAATCCAGAAGCAGAAAAATATTCCTAAACATGAACTTTTGGTGGATGCTTAATAGAACGAAACACTTTTTTCTATTAGGAAACTGCCAAACCTTTTTTTTGATGTACATCTTTTGAAAAATAATCACATGAATTTTGAAAATTTACTCACGTGATAATCCACGTGATATTTCACGTGATAACATGTAATCAAAAATTTATTCTTGTGTTACAGTTATTAATAGTGCCACCTTAATAGGAAATGATCAAAATTTTGATCAGGTTAAGATCGACATTAATTAGAGTTAAACAATGGAAAACAATGGAAATATCAGGGAAAG